TCCACGAAACGGAGCACTGTAATTGCAACCTGCTTTCAATACATTTTAAAAGTTAGACAACACACACACAAAAAGCCAGACCACAGAGCAAGAGACCAGCATCTGATAACTGCAGGTACCCTCTATTGAGCTAGGCACTGAGCTTTATATACATTTCTTTCATTCCTCACAACTATAAAGGCAGGTCCTACCATCATTGGATGAGGACACGATAAACCAAAGGCTGCAATTAATTGGCCTATAAAGCTACAGTGGGTGGTGATTTCACATGTGTAACTGGCTAAATGAATTAAGGAAATGGGCCTTCCATCTTATGTTCTGGCTCAGACTGAAGACAGCAAGGAAATTAACAAATATTGGAGGGGTGTCTGCCCCTAAGCTCAGCTGTGGGCTGACTGTGTCCAAAAACCCAGAAGAAGCACATTAAAAAAAAAACCCGAAAAGAATTTCAGAATGGTGGCTCAGGACGAATTAAACTGCACATAACTTTCAATTGTGCATTTACGCCCCCAAAGTAATCCTAAGTTCAACAAAACACAAGGGTGGGGAGTGTTTGCCTTTACCTGATTTTATTACCAGTTTTCATTCGAATCCATTGGGGAATGGGACGATTCTGCTTTTGTTTCTTGGCCAGGAATCGCTTGATCCTGAAAGTCTTGTGAGAAGACTGGGAAGGAAATGCAATCAACTTAACAGCAATACCAGAGCTTGCTCCAATGATTCAAAGTCAAGAACTCCCTAAATCCAACAAATATTCAAATGCTTAACATATACCAAGAACAACCCTCTCGATGCTAAACCCATCACTGCCCTTTGCTTTGTTCCTCACTTCTCCGGAGACAGATACCATAATTCCCACTGTTCAAAGAAAAATCAGTAGTCAGGGAGGTAGGTAACCTGCCCCAAAGCAGAGTATTAATGTGCAGATTTGGCTGGGATTCAAACCCAGGTCCTCTCTGCTCCAAGGCTAGGGCGTGTTCCAGTCTTCCCTGCTGTCAACCCAGGACTGAGAGGACTATAGCCAGAGATGGCGGAGACTAAAGCACGTGGTTTTCAGGAACAATCCCTTGCAAGTCAGTGAGTCTCAGCGCACTATTTTGTACACCAGAGTACTGGGACTTCCCTGGTGGTCGAATGGTTAGGATACCACGCTTCCACTGCTGGGGGCCCCGGTTTGATCCCTGGTCGGGAATCCAACAAGCCGCACGGAGCGGCAAAAAAAAAAAAAAAAAAAAAGATTTACACAAAGTCCCTGACTTTCGGTAAATCTGTTCTAGCCCTCTGACCATTTTGGTATTAATTCTAACTCTGTTTAAAACGTCACTTTCCCAAGGATGACTTTCCCAGCTTCCCGTCACATTCAGAGCACATCACCCCTTGATCCAGGCGTTTCTACGAGGTGACGTTCAAGTCCCTGAACAAAGGGCTAAAAAGTCCTGTAATCTCATAGCGTGGAAGGATCCTGGCCCCCAAGTAAAAACAGTCTTCGAAAACCAGCAGCCTACATTGCCTTTTCGATGCCAGGAACATCCCGCGTGTCGCAGGCAGCCCGAAGTCAGGCCACGATTTCTGGGGTACCCCCTCGACTTCTCTTGCCCCCGAAACAGAGTTCGCTCCGGGAAAAACGGGAATCCCTGCCCGCCTGAGCAGTGGCCTGGAGCAGAGCGCCCCTTCGGACCTCGCGGGGCCGGCGCAGCCTGCCCCTCCCCAAGTCGCTCGCTTCCCGCCAGGCCCTCGGACTGGAGCCGTGGCCCAACTCCATCGCCTCTGGAAAAGGCCTTAAAAATGGTCCCACACATCGGGGCAGCCAGCGGCACCGGCGAGCTCGCGGAGATCTCAGATCTCAGAAAGCCACCCCAGAGCCGATGGTAATGGATGGACTTACCATGGCGACAATCAAATCCAGCCGCACATAGGATGGAGGACAAGAGAAAAGAGGAGGAATCGGGCGGAAGGACGTGTTTAGAGGGCGCCGCCGGGGGCCGGGCTTGGGGAGGACACGCCATGAGCCAACCATCGCCCCCTGGCGGCCGCTCTCTGCGCAAGCTGCCGTGAGGCCGTGGGAAACCGCGCTCATTCGTGCGAAGTGGAATTCCCTTTGCTTCAGTTCCATAATTGGGTTTTTCAGGACCCCGTTAGTGTGCCAGGGGCACCCTGTGTCATGGGTGAAACACACAGTCCGTGATAACTGCCAAGGCAGAAACCCTTCCGAAGGCGGGAGGAGCGGAGTGGGCGGGGCTATCTCCAAGGTGGGCGGGAGAGAGGTTATGTTCCGGCGCAAGGGACTTCGGTCCTGCGTTTGGGAGGGAGCGCGCCTAGGGGTGGGGGCTGGGAACGTCCCGCCGGAGTGGACTAGGGGTTTGGACCCCGGCTCTTTCTCGGCGGTTGTGTCCACTAGGCTGGGCCGTGCGGGATGGGAATGTACAGTGGTGTTGGCCATGGGGCGTTAGACTAGGCAAGAGGCTGCCAATCAAGGGGTTTTTTTTCCCCTTCCAGTTATATTGAGATATAATTGACATACAGCACTGTATAACCAATCAAGGTTTTACACAACGCAGAGTACTAAGGATCACGGCCCCAATCAAGGTTTTAAACTGAGAAAGTTCTGGACAGAACATTCCCTTGGCTGCTAGGAAGCTCAGACTGACTTTGTAACCCACCTTTGGCAAAATGTACAGGAATTAATGCCACACGTTTTGGATGTTAATGTTCCCTGTTTTCATCTTTTTCTTCTCCCCATTTAGAAACAAAGATCTCTAAAGTCACTTCAAGCATTTTTGCACCAATAGATTAAGGTAAGGGTTTTAACCTGGGGTCCACAAGGGTCAATGTATAGAATTCACAGGGTACGAACGTGGATGGAAAAAAAAATCACAACTTCGTTTTCATCAAACTCTGAAATGTAGTGCTTTCTTTATTTACAAATGTAGACAACAAACTACAGTGACATTAGCAGTACCTGTGACTTGGTCACCAATAGAAATCAAAGATGGTTTCATATCACACTGCAGTTGATGCAGATGTCTCGAAATATCATTTATGTACTTATCACTTCTTTGAAATTACAGTAGACCCACAAGAACTCTGTTAATCCTGTATGTTGCTATAGTACACATTTCTTTTAGAAAATATTTTGATAGCTGTATTGCAGTGTGATTGGTTTTCTTTATCATCCTGTGTACTTTGTTTTATGCATTTAAAAACATTCTGAGAAGGACTTCCCTGGTGGTGCAGTGGTTAAGAATCTGCCTGCCAATGCCAGGGACACGGGTTCGAGCCCTGGTCCTGAAGATCCCACATGCCACGGAGCAACTAAGCCCGTGTGCCACAACTACTGAGCCTGCGCTCTGGAGCCCACAGGCCACAACTACTGAAGCCCGCGCGCCTAGAGCCCATGCTCCGTAACAAGACAAGCCACCGCAATGAGAAGCCTGCGCACTGCAACGAAGAGTAGCCCCCGCTCGCTGCAACTAGAGAAAGCCTGCCTGCAGCAACGAAGACCCAATGCAGCCAAAAATAAATAAATAAAATTTATTTAAAAAAACACAAAACGATTCTGAGGGACTTCCTTGGAGATCCAGTGGTTAAGAATTGCCTTCCAATTCAGGGAACGCTGGCTCGATCCCTGGTTGGGGAACTAAGATCCCACATGCTCCGGGGCAACTAAGCCTGCGTATCGCAACTACTGAGCATGCGAGCCACAACTAGAGAGCCGCGTGCCAAAACAAAGGATTCAGCATGTCACAACAAAGATCCCGCATGCCGCAACTAAGACCCAACGTAGCCAAAAATAAAATAAAATAAATAATTTTTTTTTTAATTCTGAAAATAAGTCCAGAAACTTTCTCAGACTGCCAAATGGTTCTATGGCACAAAAATGGTTTCGAATCCCTGGATTGGGGTAGTGACAGATGGTAGAACAAACAAACTAGGTAGGAGGCTTTGGAAATAGTCTAAACAAGAAGTGATGGTGGGGGGCTTCCATGGTGGCGCAGTGGTTGTGAGTCTGCCTGGCGGGTTCGAGCCCTGGTCTGGGAGGATCCCGCATGCCGCGGAGCGACTGGGCCCGTGAGCCACAACCACTGAGCCTGCGCGTCTGGAGCCTGTGCTCCGCAACAGGAGAGGCTCGTGCACCGCGATGTAGCGTGGCCCCCGCTTGCCGCAACTAGAGAAAGCCCTCGCACAGAAACGAAGACCCATCACAGCCAAAAATAAATAAATTTATTTTAAAAAAAAAGAGATAAATAAATAAATTTATAAAAAAAAGAAGTGATGGTGGCACAAAGTAAGGTAGTCACCATGACGTTGAATAAGAAGAAACAAGATCAAGAGATGATTGTGGTGCCTGCTTCGGCAGCACATATACTAAAATTGGAACGATACAGAGAAGATTAGCATGGCCCCTGCACAAGGATGACACGCAAATTGGTGCAGCGTTCCATATTTTTTGAATGTTCTCAATAAATGGTTACATATGTGAAAAAAAAAAAAAGGTGATTGTGACATAAAGTTAACAGGTCTTAGTCCCAGGTCTCTGCCTTGGGCAACTGGATGCTGGTGCCTTAGATCTAGAGAGGGAATACAGAAACCATAGGAAGCTTGAGCCCAATTTAGTAATTACCGGGGTTTTGTTTGTTTGCTTTTTGGCCACGCCACGTGCCTTTTGGGATCTTAGTTCCCCGACCAGGGATCAAACCCGTGCCACCTGCAGTGGAAGCACAGAGTCCCAACCACTGGACCGCCAGGGAATTCCCGAATAATTACCGGTTTTTAACAGCAACAGTTTAGTTACTTTAATCCCACCCAGTTTTTAGATTCAGACCCTCATCCAAATTTACATTTAATTCAAGTGAGACCTTGGGCTTCTTACCTTGGATTTTTATTATTTACTTAAGAGCCAGTATTTTCTTTTTGGTGACCAGAAGGAAGGAGCAACAAATAAGCCTTTAGTAGATGAATTATCATCGTCGTCATCATCGTCATCATAGCTACCATTTCCTCAGGTTTAGAGTGGGACTGACACTGTGCTAAGAGCTTATATAAATCATCCTTTTAATTCTTACAGCTTTATAGGACACTTGTTGTTCTTTCCTTCTACATTGCATGGCACCCCCTCTGAGTTTCTTTTGCTGATTCTTCCTTATCTCACTTACTTTTTAACATTGGAGAGCCCTGAGGTTCAGATTCGGACCTCTTCTCTTTTCTATATACACTCCCTTCCTTGGTGACCTCATCCAATATCATGGCTTTAAATGTTTTCTTGGACTTCCCCCGCGGTCCAGTGGTTAAGACTCGGCGCTTCCACTGCAGGGGCACGGGTTTGATCCCTGATCAGGGAACTAAGATCCCGCATGCCACACAGCGCGGCCAAAAAAAAAAAAAAGTTTAAATACTCTCTTGGTTGACGACAACCAAATGTATGTCTCCAGCCTGGATGTCTCCTTGAACTACTACCTTCAACGTCCCCACCTGGATGTCTAATAGATGTCTTTAAACTTAATGTGTCCCAAACAGAATTCCTGATATTTCACTGTCAACTGGCTCACTCAAAAGTCCTTCCCATCTCAGCAGATGGCACCTCCATTCTTCCTGTTGCTTAGGCCAAATTTTATTTTCCACTCTTCTCTCTCTTTTTTTAAAAATACTTCCTCTTTAAAAAAATTTTTTTTCTAATTTTATTTTTAGCTGCGTTGGGTCTTCATTGCTTCGCGTGGGCTTTCTCTAGTGACGGCGAGTGGGGTTACTCTTCATTGCGTGCGCGGGCTTCTCGTTGCTGTGGCTTCTTTTGTTGCGGAGCACAGGCTCTAGGCGCGAGGGCTTCAGTTGTTGCGGCTCGTGGGCTCAGTAATTGCGGCGCATGGGCTTAGTTGCTCCGTGGCATGTGGGATCTTCCTGGACCAGGGATTGAACCTGTGTCCCCTGCATTGGCAGGCGGGTTCTTAACCACTGCGCCACCAGGGAAGCCATCCACTCTTCTCTTTTCTCTCACACCCCATATCCAATTTGTCAGCAAATCTGGTCAGTTTGACTTTGAAATTTATGCAGTACCTCAGAATGTGACTTTATTTGGAGGTAGGGTCGTTAAAGAGGTAATCAAGTTAAAATGAGGCTGGCTAGGGACTTCCCTGGTGTTCCAGTGACTAAGACTCCACGCTTCCAATGCAGGGGGTCTGGATTTGATCCCTGGTCAGGGAACTAGATCCCACATGCCACAACTAAGAGTTAACATGCCGCAAATGAGACCTGGCACATCCAAATAAATAAATAAATATTTTTTAAAAATGAGGCTGCCTAGTGTGGGCCCTCATCCAGTCTGACTGGTGTCCTCATCAGAAGAGATTAGGACACACAAAGAGATACCATGGATGCTCACGTGCATGCAGAAAGGCCATGTGAGGACACGGTAGGAAGGTGGCCGGCCACCCGCGAGCCAAAGAGAGAGGCCTCAGGAGAAACCAGACCTACTGATGCCTCGATCTCAGGCTTCTCGCCTCCAGAACTGTGAGAAACTTCTGTTGTTTAAGCCACCCAATCTGTGGTATTTTGTCATGGCAGCCCTCACCAACTGAGACAGGTGGGATCAGGACATGGGGAGTGGGGAGAAGGGCATTCCAGCTAGAAGGAACAGCATGCCACCAGTCACAAGCCAATGTGCTGTACCTCCTGATTGGCTGGAGCCAGGGAGGCAAGTTTCAGGGGCTGGAATTCCACAGAGCTGGGTCCCATAGGGTCAGAAAGGACAACGGCTGTGAAGAGACTCCCGGATTTGACATAGGGTGCTCCCTGGTGCCCTTGAAATTTGGGCAGTATACATGGGATGTGAGGAAGGGGGCAAGAGGAGAAAGAGTGGGTGGTGAAGTGGGGGCAGGGCTTGTGGGGAGGAGAGGCTTTTAGGACGTTTGGGTGTGAAGAGAAGGAGACAAAGGAGGGCAGTGAGAGAGGGTGGTGAGCTCAAGAACTGGTCATTTCTGAGACTTCCCTGGCGGTCCAGTGGTTAAGACTCCATGTTCCCAAGGCAGGGGGCACAGGTTAGATTCCTGGTCAGGGAACTAAGATCCCACATGCCGTAGGGCGCGACCTAAAAATAAATAAATTTTTTTTTTTTTTTGCGGTACGCGGGCCTCTCACTGCTGTGGCCTCTCCCGTTGCGGAGCACAGGCTCCAGACGCGCAGGCTCAGCGGCCACGGCTCACAGGCGCAGCCGCTCCGCGGCATGTGGGATATCCCCAGACCGGGGCACGAACCCGTGTCCCCTGCATCGGCAGGTGGACTCTCAACCACTGCGTCACCAGGGAAGCCCCAGAACTATTTTTATAATAATACAAAGAAATCATCTGCTTCTTTCACTCTTGTTCTCTCACGGGTGTACCGTGGAGTTTCCAAGAGGCTCCATGACTTGTAATAACTTCATTGCTCTGACAGACAATAATAGAATGTGTG